GCCTTCTTTAAAATTCAATGCATATGTAAAGAAATATACGGTAACCCGAATTTACCACACTCGCAAAATCGCACACAGCCAACCATACACCCAGTATGGTATCGCGATTCGTGATTTTGCGCTATCATACTGGGTGTATGGTCGGCTGTGTGCGATTTTGCGAGTGTGGTAAAATCGCATAACAGCAAAATCGCATAACAGCCGAGCATACACCCAGCAGCGCTGCTGATGCCTGAACGGTATGTGGAATGAAGTGGGCGGGCATCGGGAGGCCACTATGGCACGGGGCAAGCACTATGGGCAGTCTATCTGAAGTGTACCTGGCGTATAAGACGACCCCCCACTTGGAGGCATATTTTTCAGGGCCAAAAAATCGTCTTATACGCCGGCAAATACGGTATATAGGATTTGTGGCCAACACTATAAAAAAAATTTTTAGTTGATTTGAGAGAGAGGAAGGGAGAAAGTGGGGAGGCAGAGAGGGAGAGTTGGGGAAGGAGACAGAGAAAAGGGGTGGGGGGTTGCTTCACTTATATATGCCTTCATTGGTTGCTTCTTGTATGTGACCTGACCAGAGAGCTAACCTGCAACCTTGGTGTATTGGGATGATGCTCCAATCAACTGAGCTGCCTGTCCAGGGCTGTGGCCAACACTTTAAAAGAATTATGCAGTTTTACCTGCAGATAGATATACAGTAAATACCCAAAAAAGGCTTTAAGGAGAACCCTATACAAAACAGTAGGGTTGTAAACAATGCCCAAGAGATGTCTGCTGTGCGAATTTGGAGCCCCTGGTGGGGTCCGAGTTACCTGAGGGGCACGGCCTCTCTTCCGGTCATGCAGTTCCGCCAGCAGCTTCTCAATCAAAGGGATGGCAAAGGAGAAAGTCTTCCCAGTTCCTGTCCGCGCCTGTGCAATTAAGTCTTTTCCACTATACACGTGGTGAAATGTCTTTGCTTGTATAGGAAACAGGAAGGTCACCCCGCGGGCTGTAAACAGATTAACCGTGTTACTGACATTGCAGTTCTTCAAGTATCAGCCATACGGGAGGAGGAATTCTACCCTCTCAACATCTACAAATTCAGGTTCAGATATATTCTAGTGGTGAAGAAGCTATTTGACTGAAAAATATCAATATACTTTAAAGCACCGAATTACAGTAAATATTTATTATTTTAAGCGTTTAAGCTGCCTGTCATGAAATGTCATCCACAGGTCAGTATAAGGTGAGAATCAGAGGCTCTGCAGGCCAAGTCCAGACTGTGCAACACCTGGTTCAGAAAACACCCGCTGAGCATCTCTGACCACCTGGCTCAGTCACAGGCACACCGCTACGATGAATTCTAAGCCAGGCTGGTATCATTAACCTAGAGATACCTCAAGAAGTGGAAGAGGATAAAAAAAGGAAAATATTAGCATGGTATCAACTGTTTAATTGCAGAGGCACTATCAGTCATCACACTTCTGAATAAATGTTAACCACCTGTTTAAGAGTCCAACAAAGGCCATCACTAGTGTAGTCCTACGTTGTACATATAGATCTACTTCATTATATGGCTGCACATAGGAACACATCCTAGTTCCTCTCAACAAATACGGTGGAGTGCTTCCAAATAATATGTCCTAATTTATACAATATTCTAAGAATATTACCTTTGAGAAGTTTAATAGTTTCTTCAGATATGGGGAAATTAGAGAAAGCGCCTTCTTTTTGTTCCACAGGTATTTCCTATCAAGTAAAGGGCCACAGAAAGAAATCAGTAACTTTACCCCTGCAGGTTAATACAGAGAAGCCTTCTGAGAAAGAAACCAAAGAACCTATTCTAACATACCTTTCTCAATCAACCCAAAAGACACAAAAACCTTATGGGTAAATGAATGTCTAAAAAGGAAATAATCGCCCTAACCGGTTTGCCTCAGTGGACAGAGCATCAGCCTGCGGACTGAAGGGTCCCAGGTTCGATTCTGGTCAAGGGCATGTACCTTGGTTGCGGGCACATTCCCAGTAGGGGGTGTGCAGGAGGCAGCTGATCGATGTTTCTGACTATCTCTCTCCCTTTCTCTCTGTAAAAAATCAATAAAAATATATTTTAAAAATAAAAAATAAAAAGGAAATAATCTGTAAAACCCTAGAAGAAAAACCTGTAGCAAATATATACCATACATACACTATGTATGGCTAGTGAAGGCAGGATCAGTCTCATCTAAGAACTATTCCATAGCCATTCCAAACAACTATGCGGTTGCACAGGTCTTAGCTCTTTTCCACAGCAACATCTCTCATACATCCACAAAAATAAGGTCCAAACAGTGGCATTGATAGTAAAAATCTGAACGCCAAACGAATTGGGCAAATAAAATGCCAAATAATAATGTGAATTTCTAAAAATTTAAGTGATGGATTATGTAACCCTTAAGAATATTTAATATTTTTACTTAAATAATTAAAATAAATTAAATATTTAACAAGTGGGGGAAATGCTTATATAAAAGTGGAAAAGTCTGGATACAATACTGCATACAGTACAATCCTAGTCTGATTAAAAAGATTATTCCATATATAAAGTACAGCAAGGAAACACCAAAATCAACAGGTTACTTCTGTACCTGAAAAGTGCTTAATAGTCACTGAATTACTGAATGCAGAAATTCTAAGGAAACTTTTAAAAATAAATTTCTATATTTCCTAAATTCTCTAGATCACATATTATTTTTAATAATCAAAATAATTCTTAAATGTTGATCATGACCTACAAACACAAAATTGTTTATTAAATTAGGACTTTCCTGAGATTCTGAAAGCTGTCAGAATTAGCTTCCAAGCAGACTTATTTAATCATCCTGTTCAACTCAAGTCAGTTAACAGCCTAAACAGGGACTTACAATCCTGCTTAGTCTTGGTTTAGTGAAGCCCCTACGAGAAGGAGGGCCTCTTCACATGACTACATCCCTCCTGTTGATTTCAGACTTACAAATAAGCTGCCGGCATCTGGAGAGATTTTCCCCAAAATTAAACAGATCTGCTTACTTGCAAGGAGGCATTCTGACTCTAGGCTCAACAGACCCCATAAAGCGCTAAGAAATCAAATTTCCTCCCATTGTTAAGTATGTAGTGATTACCTACTTATTTATCTGAAATGACACATATCTCAACCTCACCTGCTCCAACTCACTGTTACTTTCTTCACTGGCAGCTTCGTTGGAGTTAGAGTCAAGTCCAGAATGAGAGAATCCATTCTTTAGTTTGGGGCTTTTCTCCCCAATTTCTCCATTCATTTCCTTTCCTTTCTTTATCTTCTTGGGTTTAGGAGCAGCCACTTCTTCTTCAGAAGGCTCCTCACTTTTTTTTACTTTTTTGGTTTTAGAGGAAACTTTCTTTTCCACAGACTCCTTTGTTTTTTTTACACTTTTGATTTTAGGAGAAATCACATCATCTTGAGATGGCTCCTCGTTCTTTTTGGCCTTTTTGGGTTTAACTTCATCTTGAGATGGCTCCTCGATCTTTTTTGCCTTTTTGGATTTAGGAGAATTCATGTCGACCTCAGAAGGCTCTGCTTTCTTTTTAATTTTTTTAGCTTTGGGGGAAATGGCTTCTTCCTTTTCTTCTCCTGCCTCTTCAGTCTTATTAGATTTTGGCTTCTCTTTTTTACTTTTCTAAAAAAAAAAAAAAATCAATAAAGAAAATACAAACACTGCACAAAGCATCTGATACATCAATTCAGGATTACTTTAAGATTACACAATTATGAAGAACACAATTTGAGGGCATTTTTCAACATTTGTTCTTCCACCTTGCAGTAAGGCAAAAACCAAACTATGCTTCCTAGTACTATTAGCTATATGGAGATAAGTCTATAGCAGTGATGGCGAACCTTTTGAGCTCGGCGTGTCAGCATTTTGAAAAACCCTAACTTAACTCTGGTGCCGTGTCACATATAGAAATTTTTTGATATTTGCAACCATAGTAAAACAAAGATTTATATTTTTGATATTTATTTTATGTATTTAAATGCCATTTAACAAAGAAAAATCAACCAAAAAATGAGTTTGCATGTCACCTCTGACACGCATGTCATAGGTTCGCCATCACTGGTCTATAGCAATAACGTCATTAGCTTGGAAGAGAATGCCTCTTAGTAACTACTCAATTCATGTTGGTCCAACAAGTTGTAAACTCAAATTTTCACAAATTATTTCGGGTGGCTCATGGGATGCTCCCACTGGCTCTAAACCAATACACAAATTCTGATAAAAGTAATAAGGCCATATATGTGCATGGATGGAATAGAGACTCTTCTTTCCTAGAATTCATGTACAGGTAAAACAAGGATTCATAACATCTGCCTTGCCTACCTCACAAAGTGCAAATGAATTTACAGAGACACTTCATGAACCAAAAAGCTATAAAAACTCACAATCTATCACCCCATGTGTAAAAAAGACGAACCTAATTTAAAGAAGATGTGGGGGTGAAGCACAAGTTACAAGGGGCTGGAATGAGTGAAGCCTCAAAACCAAATCAGACTATGGCTCCTACCTGAAAGGTCTGACCCTCTCCAACGCTTCCCATTACTGAAACCTTCATTACCCAATATTACTGCACACAATCAGGCAGCTGTTGGAGCCTGTTAAAACCTCTCCGACAGAGCCCCAGCAATCCCAGAAGTACGGAGCTGAAATCTGCCTCCCTAGAACTTGAGGTGTGGCCTCTCGAATCTTGGATGAGGGTAATCCCTTCAACATGACCGTCCCTCCGACATAAGGAAAACAGCCTGTTCCCCCGCCCCGTCTCCACGACTTCAGAGTTTTCATCCCTTGGATGAACCAAATCAGAGTGTATTTCCCATCCCCGTGGTCTCCTTCGGAATATAACGGAGTTCGGTCGTGTCCCTCCTAATCTGAGATCCCACAACTGAACACGGTCACGGAGGCAGGGAGAGTACAGCAGTGAGTATCCTCCCCACCTGGGAAGGCGCGTCTGTGCCCCCTCGGCTTCCTGCAAGGCCAGAATACTGCTGTTGTAAAAGCGCCCCATCCAAAAGTCCCGGAAACAGCAAGAAAAGATCTTCTAAATCGTATACAAGTTCTGGGACAAGCTTTGTTCCCACTGACCTCATCTCAGAACAGACCCGGTCACAATTCAATCGCTATCTAAATAAGTAACATCAGGGAGGCAGGCCGCTGTCAAAGGAACAGGAGAACTGCAACCAGCCGGCCACTCTCAAAAATACGGTGCACAGTTAGCACCACAACAGGGCTTTGCATTCCAGCGGGCGATCTGGTCGCTAACATTAAGAGGAACTGATGTGCAGGACTACAGTTCCGTAGGGCTGCTCACCGGAAACGATGCCTCCCCGAGTAGGATGAAAGCGTCTCCGCTGACGCCGCCCACGTGGGCAGGTGGGTGAAATTCTCGCTCGTCTAAAGCGGCAATCCCTACCTTGACTTGACTTACAGTTCCCTCCGCGCACGCACCCGCCGGGAGTCAGGTCTGAGCTTGAGCCAAAACCTGGGGACCTAACCGCCCAACTCAGTGCCCCGGGTGCGGGGCACCCAGGTTCCGGGACCACGTGGGACACCTGGCGCCCCCCGCAGGCCCGACCCGTCCCGGCCTCGGCCAGGACTCCCGCCGTGCGCCCACCGCCCACGGGCAACGCTACTCCCAGGCGCCCCTTGGCCGACACCCACGCGGGTCTCCCGACCAGCCGGGTCCGCGCCGCGCTCCCAGCGCTCCCAGCCGGCGCACCCTCCCCTCCCGCACCCCGGCCACGCGTCCTGCCGAGCCCCAGCCCCTCCGCCCTCGGTGGCACCTTCTCATTTTGTTTCCTCGGTGTCTCCACTTTTCCCATGGCCGCGTCTGATACCAAGTCTGCGTCACTAAGGAGTTTCCCCGGCATCGTTCAGCACGAGCGGTGCAGGCCTGCCGAGCTCGTCCACCGCGTGGAGAGGAAGAGACGGCCTTACCCGATTCAGCTTCCGTCACTTCCTGTAGCAAAGCGTTTCCCCCGGAAGGAGAAAGCCCCAGGGAGGCGGGGCCCCACGTGCGGGT